TTGTGTGTGAGAGAGAGGGGGTTAGTGGGTGTAGTGGTGGGGTCCACTGGTTATGTGTAATGTCTGATTTACCCCCGGTGAGTGGTTAAATTTTTATATTTGACCATAATATGTACAATTATTTACGAGAATGCTACTCATATTTGACTGTTGTTATATTTAAAGTTTGACTTAAATCATGATCACTAACTTGATTGATCCAAATATTCTTATTTCTTTCACTATCTACCATTCTCATATGATCACATTCTCTCTTTCTTTCTCTCTCTCTCTCTCTATCTCTCTCTCTCTCTCTCTCTCTCTCTCTTTCTCTCTATCTCTCTCTCTCTCTCTCTCTATATATATATATATATATATATGCATCTTAGCCATATGATCCGAACATCCAACGGCAAAAAACAATCCAAAATTCTACACTTATTAAAGGCTTATTAAAGGCATATTGGACATTTCCCATATGCCAACCCAATCATCCACCTATCCCACACACCTGAGGGTCCCACCAACACATCTCCCTTTTTTCCTTCCACTCTTTCACTCGATCTATACGCACGCCATCCTTGATCTGTAAATTTCCGCCCTGCCGCCACTATATCCGCCGCCACCACCACTAAACCTGCCGACGCCTCTTCTGCTAAACCTAACGACGCCGTTGAACCTCCCGCCGCCATCGCCTGTTTTTTCTGAGTTTTCTACTGTCTCTAAACCCCCTCCCGCTGCCGCCTGTGTTTCTCATATGACGCGCCAGTCCCGCCGTCTCCGTCATCATTTGGGCCCGCTTGAGCTGAGGTGGCGTCGCATGGTGGAGCTGTTAGTGTTATATACTGAAAGCTTGGCTTTGCATGTTATTACACATTTACCCTTTATGAATGAGAATCATGTTAGATTAAACAAGTTCTACGTTCTGTTGTTCTGCACTTAGATAGGGTGGGTCGTCATCGGGCGAACCGAAGATCACTCTATCAGTCACTTGCGAGCAAGAATAGTTGTTCACAACCTAGATGGACATGAACACCCCATCCGAACGGTTGTAGTGTCAACTGTACAGTTTGTCTTGACTGATTAGTTGCACTAGTACATTTATGTATTGAACAGGATCCCAGAGAGGAGAAGTTCATTTTATACTGATCGTCGTAAATGAACTAGGCCTCGGTTAATTACTGCGTTCTCTTAACCCGTAAGATATTAAACAGGCAGATATATATAATATATATTACTTTGATTCACATGGGTGAGGTTCAGTTCGCTGGATTAATATTCCTACTGTTTTGGGTAATATTATTATATATAGGATGTGCTGTTAGGATATTTACGGTCACCATGTGCGTTAGTTTGATGATGTCCCCGGAGTGAGTTCATGAAGGATTGTTATGCTAAACCCTGCAGGTGGATTAAATTCCGGCATAATAAGAATGTGATGAACGAGCGCTAGCTTCGGTGAAATAATAATAAATTAATTAATTCTTGATTGTCAGTAATCGAATTAATTAATGGACATTATATCTTAAACGTGGGGAGGTAAATCGAGTAATTATTATTGGAGTCTCAAATGTAATTTGGGCTAGGGAAAGGGAGTGCAATAATATAATGTTGGTGGCCCATTAATATTATTTAATTAATTAGAGGAGTGGGTTTGGCCCACAGTTAGTCTAATTAATTAAGGAGCCCTTTTCCTAATCTCCTTAGGGTCCCTACTGTAGCTCTATATATACATCATTAAGCTCATGAGAAGAGAATAGAAGTCTCATTCTCACGTGAAACCATCTCTCTCTCTAGATCTCATTCGAGCTTTATCTTCTTCTTGTTGCTCCACTGGTACAAGTTGAAGAAGGGTGTATTGAGTAATACAGTAGAAGATCTGTAGGTAAACAGAGACGAAATTGATTTTGACCTACAGAACTAACCAGAAGTCCGATTGAGACGTACAGTATGCCCAGACGACCGTCTCGACGAGAGCTTTCCATCGCCGCCGACGTCGCCGGAATCCGACGCCGCACGCGCCCTCACGCGCCGCCGGAAGGTGTCTGGCAGCAAAATTTCGTTTTGATCTATTTGCATCCGTTTGATCCAGTTTTGATCTGATCTTGTTCGTGCAACCCAAGACGCGTGTTGCGGTCAATCAATTGCGGTCAACCGTTCGTGGTCAACCAGATCTACATAAATTTTAAGCCGTAAGTTCTCTACGTCAAACCTTTAGATCCGCTGCGCATAGGTTTACGTTTGCTATTGAATTCGTGATTTGTACATAACGAGATCCTCACAGATCCCAACAGGAGCCTCACCAATAGCTCGACGATCATCGCGTCGTCTGACATGGCAATGTGACCACTCCTCGTCGGCGCCACTCATGGCCACCGCCTAAATCCCGACGCCGCTACCGTCATCTTCCTCCTCAGCCGCCACGTCAAAATCCACCGCTGCACACTCCCGTTGCGGCCGCCTTCCATGTCTCACTCGATGATGTTCGGCGAGGTGGCTATCTCTGCCCTCCCCACTGCCGTCTCCGCCCTCCCCGCAATCATCTCCACCCCTCCCCACGTCGGCGCCGTCTTCCTAGGCCGGAGAAGGAAACAAGCAACACAACAATTACGGGATTTGGAAATTGTTCAAAAATTAGGGATATGGATATTTTATGTAAATTATATATAATCAAGAGACTTATCTATAAGTTAAATTGTTTTAATTATATTGCAATTTAGTTCATGAGTTAAATTTATAAATCAATAAAATTTGATAGTTGCACATTAATGTTCAGTGCGTTGCACCATATCGCGTTCGAAATTGCACATTAAAAATATCACTACATAGACTACACCATATTGTTATACAAGTTGCACTTTAGTGAATGTAATATTGCACTTTATCGCAAACAGTGCATTTGCGCAATGGCTAAAATATCCATGCGTGAAAAATCAAAAACCTACTTATTTACAGAAATGCCACTGCGTGTTTGACTAAAGTTGAACCCTTTGCCGTGTTTAAAATATTGATATATCGTATCCAAGGTCTACAACTCATTCTTGTTTTTTTCATTATCACTTTTTCTCATATGATTCATTATCTATATACCCCCTATATATTACGTGCTGAGTCTAAGTGATAGACACGTATGCTTCGGGATCCAATGTGGCAAAATTACATTCTTCATTATTAATCTTGGATAGATTTTAATTTACTTCCAAACTAAAAATAATTAGGTTCGGATTATTCGTAAATATGTTGATTATTTATGGTTATATTACATGTATTAATTCTATTTTAATATCATTTATTATTATAACCATTGAATTGTAAATATATTTTAAGAGTTAATAACTTATATATTTTTTATCAGTTTTACATACATAATATATCAAATTAATCTTCTCTTGATGAGCTTCGATTTAACATTCATATTGTATGTATAAAAATAATAAATTATATTTATCTTTATAGCAATAATAAAATTGTTTTTAAACATTCATTAAAAAAATAAAATTATTTATCAATTAATATATTTATATTTGAAGTAGTTATATGATATAAGTTATAAAAATTACTGTAATATAACACATGTAAGTCGCACAAATAACAAGTGTCATTCTAAAAATATATTAATATATATTTTTTGTAAAAAAGTAAATAAAATTTAAAATAATTTTTCTCATTAATTTTAAAATTTAAGAATATTTTTTTAACAAGCAACCGTGTAATACGTAGGTGTTGTACTAGTATATATTTGTTACCAAATAAATCGAATATAATCTTAGACATGAAATAAACACTGAAACTAAACGGAGGGGTGAAATATCATAATCTATATATATATATAAAAAGAATTAACATTTTTTAAAAATAGCAGGTCAAATCTGGTCATCATTAATTTACCTACCATTCTTAGTAACTTTTTATTTATTTTTTTCCAAAAACACGGATAGCATTAAATGTTACCCTTAAATTATGGTATTTGTTACCCTTAAATTTGATACTTTCTAAAAAATATGGTAAGTGCAAGATAGAACTGAGATCATATTTGGCTTCTTCATTAATCCTTTGACGCTGCCATTAGATGGGCTCACCATTAAACACAGCAGAAATCTTAATAAAGTAAAAAATGAATCTTAATTTAGGGAGGAGTAGATGTGCAAGTGAAATTTTTAGCAAGTGCTAGAAAGGGGCTTAAGAAATTGGGTTGATTTTTCTGTTGGAGAGTAATTAAGCGAATAGATGTCCAGAAAAGGTGGCCGTCATATGTATCTTTTAGGAGCAGAATTAATATAAGATGCTCTGCTTAAATCTTGAGGATGGTGATTTATGCTTTGAAGTGTGAATTGGTTGTCACGCTGATAAATATGGGACTTGGCAAAGTTTTTTTTTTATTTTTTTTAATTACTATCTTTTTATTTATTAATACACTTCGTTTATTCTATATTCTAAAAAATATACAACCCGTGCATCGCACGGGGTTATGTACTAGTGTTTGTGTATGAGTGTACGTAAATTTAGTAATAATGATTAGAGTCAAAGAGCTCACAGGTTGAATTCTTTAATCAAATTCGATCCAATAGGGTAGACCAAACTCTGTGGCATTTCCAAGAAACACGATTCTTCTTCTACTCCAATCAGGATTCAATTATAAAAAACAGAACAAATCTATTTCATTATGGTATGATCCTAAACTGGGGACAATACTACTACTTGAACATAATAAATTGATCCAAAATTTGATAAAAATAATGTGAGGGGTTATTAATTGGTTTTAATTTAAAAATGATAATTATATTTCATAATAACAATAATAATAATAATAATAATAATAATAATAATAATAATAATAATAATAATAGCAATAACTCAATTTCATAATCATCATATGAATTTCCAAAATTAATCCCTCCAAATTTACAGTAATCACTTTTCAGAAAACAAAAACAAAAGACAAGATGCATATAACAACTCATCAACCAAAAAAAAAAAAATTAAATTGATGAATAGACATATAGAATATTAATTAACTAACATTAATTCCTCCTCCTCCTCCTCTCCATGAAGTCATGTATCCTCCCTAATGCCACCTCCAGCGTCCTCTCACTCATATTCGCAAAACAAACCCTAAACCACCCAGCCTCCGAGCAATGGCACGACGTCCCCGGCGACACATTCACCTTAACCTCCCTCAAAAGCTTCACCCAAAGCTCCAACTCATCTTCCCTACTCCCTTCCCTCAACTCCACACTCAAATCCATCCAACAAAACAATCCCGCATTCCCTCCCAAACACCTTATCCCGGCTCTCTTCAAACCCTCCACAATCGCCTCATACCTCCCCCTCAACCTCTCCCGATTAACCCTTACATACTTCTCCGTAAACTCTTTATCCGAAAGCATCGACGCCAGTAGCTTCTGTGTCTGTGACGAGATGAGCGTGAAGCTCGACATCCTCCGAGCTGTCTGGACAACTCGATCGTTGTACGAGTAAATCGTGCCCACGCGGAATCCCGGGAGGCCAAGGTCTTTCGACAGACTGTACACGACGTGGACGCGCTCGGAATCTCTATAACCTCGTGACTTGAGGACTTCAGATACGCTGACAAACTCGTCGGGGGAGAAGGCGGAGCCAGAGTAGATCTCGTCCGAGACGAGGTGAAGGTCGTGACGGGACACGAAGTCGAGCGTGAGGTCGAGGGTGGCGCGCGAGAGGGTGGCACCGAGAGGGTTTGAGGGGTTTGTGATGAGGAGGGCTCGGACTTTTGTGTTGGCGGCTCTGGCGTGATCGAGGGCAGAGTCGAGGGCTTCGGGTGTGATGGCGAAGTTGTTGGAGCTGTGGCAGTGGACGGGGATGATGTTCACGCCGGTTCTCCACCGGAGGTCCCGGTCAAACCTGTCGAGAACAAATGTCATCGTCATTATCATTTTTCATTTGTGTTAATTGTTCATATTTTTTCAAGTTGTAATAATAATAATAATAATATAGGGGATGGCTATAATCCAGTGACAATTATATGATTCCGTTCGTTTATTTTTATATGGTTGGATATTCACAGTTATTAACAGTTATTATTGGCCTTTAGATACAGGGAAGTTGTATATTAACTACACACCTGGTGTGATCTAATTGGTTGAAACAATAAAGGAACTATCCCGTGATAGTATTTTTCCAATAATATAATATATATGCATGGTATTAAATAAATTAATATTAGTTTATATGTAGTAACTGACCCTGGATAGTAAGGGGTGGGGACGAGGACGGCGTCGCCAGGGTCGGCGAGGATGAAGGTGAGGAGCTCGTTGGCGGCGGTGGCGCCAGCTGTAATTACGATTCTTTCGGGGTCGAATTTTGCGCGGCCGCCTCTTATTTGCTCCATAAAGCTTGCCATTGCCTGATGAATTTAAAATGAAAAAAGAAAATATATGTATAATTAATTTCATGCTATTCGTTTTTGTTTTTAACAACGCTTAATTAATTTAGTGTTATATTATGTACAATTGCAATATGCATGCATTATTATATATTATTTACCTGTCTGAAAGACAGAAGGCCGTGATAGTCTTGAAACAAGGCGTTCTCTCTGAATCCAGAACTTGTACCAATGTTGGTAGCATCTGAGTGTTTTTCAAGGTATTGCTCTACCAAATCGAACGAAACCTGTACACAATAGTCGAAAATATATAAAAATTAATACAATTGTAGTAGATGACGAAATTATTGTATTAATTGATTAGTGGTGCCATAAATCTCACGATCTAACGCCTAATATCATTTCTATCAATTCCACAATGGATATTAGGCGTTGGATCGTGAGATTATGGCACCATATGGTGCCCATATGGGTACCATAGAATTTCTGATTAATTAGCGGCAAATTAACATATATACTTGATTTTCGGCAAGTCCCATTTGTATGACACCCGAGGGATTGAGTGACTCGTCATAAGGGTCTTCATCGTACGCTTTCCACCCAGCAAAATACGGTGAATCCTCACCGTGAGTGTCCGAAACTGCAATTCTCGACAGGCTAACACTTTGACGGTGGCCCTCTTGCTCGATCATCATTGGCCCCATGATCTTTATTTTATTTTTCAGTTATTAAGCAGAAATTGAATAGAATTTCGACTGAAGGAACAATAGAAAGATTGTTTTCAGATAAAATGTGTGTGTAAATGCTATTTTGTGTAGTGGGAAAGGGAGAAAATGAATATTGATTAAGTAAAGCAGAAAAAAGTCCAACCGTTTTGAGTTTCTTGAATGAAGCATTTGTCCAAGTTCCACCTCCTATTTATACTGAAAATTTTTTGCCCCCCAATTTATTTAAAGAAGAAAGTGGGGCCCGCAGCTAGAGACATACTATAGTAATATTTTCCAAAAATTAAGGCAAAAAGGACCAATGATGGTTATAGTTCTGTGAGTAGGTTGAGATGTGGGCTCAGCTTTTAGAAATTAATATGTATAAATTAGTAGAATATAGAGTTTTTATTTAGTTTTAACTAATTCATGACTGGAGACAACTGTTTACTTTGCGTCATCCTTGATCATAATTCATATCTCAATCTCCACCACGAGATCCACACCAAATATGGTGGTTGAATGAATGCCTTCATACATTTAAT